CCTCTTCCCAGCCAACCCACTGCGACGGGCTGGCTGAAGAAGGGCACGGCAGTTCCCTGCCTGATCTTCTCCACCTAAAGAAGATTGGTCAGGGAATCCAGACATGTATAGAAGGCTCTACAGGCCTTCCCTGGCCCATCTGCCTTGGCAGGCAGGCCAGGAAAGGCAGCGGGGGGGGGGTGCCACTGGGCTCCCTACTGCCAGAGTGCTGTTCTGGTGCGTTCCATCAGGAAATGACTCCTGCAGTACACATTACAGTACACTGATTTGCCACTTGAATTTTACAGTATTCATTGAATCCTTAGTTGTTATGATAAAGGACCAATAGAAACATTCATAGATTTAATTTAGGGACATTTATTTTTAAGATTAGTCTTTATGCATAAGATATTCTGTGTTTAATTCTTTGCAGTCTTTTAAGAAATTAATGAAACCACTAAATCTGTTCCAGAGAATCTCAGGGTATACAAGTAATTTTACTAAATCAAAATTGTTTGGGCTGGACATGCAAAAGGAAAGAAAAAGTAAGCAATCAATGATGTTTTCTGAAAATCCAGTCTAATAAAGTATCTAGGAATCTGGATGGAAGAGGATATAAATTAGATTATTATTGGAGCCAGTTTGGTGTAATGGTTAAGTGCGTGGCCTCTAATCTTGGAAAACTGGGTTTGATTCCCCATTCCTCCACTTGCAGCTGCTGGATGACCTTGGGCAAGCCATAGTTGTCAGAGCTGTTCTCTCAAGGACAGTTCTGGAAACAGCTCTCTCAGCCCCACCTACCTCACAGGGTTTCTGTTGTGGGGAGGGGAAGGGAAAGGAGTTTGTTGTAATCCACTCTGAGTGGGGTATAAATCCAATCTCTTTCTTCTTCTTCTAAACAACCACCAGAAATGTTTTAAGGAAGTAAGCCCTGACCTGGATAGCCCAGGCAAGCCCAATCTCATCAGATCTTGGAAGCTAAGCAGCACTGACCCTAACAAGTATCTGGATGGGGGACCTCCAGAGAATACCAGGGCTGGGAGGCCAGAGGCAGGCTATCAAGCCACTTCTCTGAATATTTTCCATGCCCCAGTAGGAGTCGCCAGAGATTGCCATGACTTCCAGGCATGGGCAGACATATGCACACACACACAAAATGATTTAAGGAAGTAGAAAATCAGGAATGGGCCATTCTAAACCTGAACACATGAACCTTGCTTATTCAGATCATTGTCAGTCAAGGTCTGTACTGTCTACACTGGCAGCAGTTCTTCAGAGACTCAGGAAGATGGCTTTCACATCACCTAGTACCTGATCCTAGAACAAAGCAAATGCTTTATCACCAAGCCTCATCCATCAATCTGTCATGATGGGTAGAAATCTGTTATCTGGTATGGCTGAGCATGCACATCTTTCTTCCACAACCGGCTCTCTTCCACCTGGAACTGTGTCCACATCTACAGATCCTGCTAGTTCTGGTCTGATACTCTTAGCACTTCAAGTTAATGCTGTATGCCTTCCAACAACTCTACAAACAACTGATTCAGGTAAAGAAAACACCACAGCTCTTCTAAGACTGTACCACATCATATTTTGCTATATGCTTCTCAAGTCTTTTGGTCCATGCAGGTTCTTAAGATTTATTCTCTTTTCCCAGCTATTTCAGCTAATATCAAAGGCTGCATATTCTGACCAAATACTTCTGTGTCCATATTGACTCCCCCCACCCCGTTTCAATGTATATATGGGAAATGAGAAGAAGTTAAAATACCTATGTTGAACCCTGCATGTTCACACTGTGCACAACATTCATGCGAACAGACACTATAGAAATTGAATTTACTGCTATTTGGGAATTACAGTTTTCATAGACATTTTTCTTCTTCTCCATGGGAGTCCTTTCTCTCAGGTGAAATTACTGACAGGACTGCAGTCACAGCTGAGTGGTCTGCCTGCCTGGCACAACAATCATTACTAATTGCTAAAAACTTGGCTGGAAGACTCGGTGGTTTAGGATTTCAGTTTGGCTCTCTCTTCAGCTTGGCTAAAATAGCATTTGGTTTGGCAAGAAAGCTGGAAGAGATTCAATATCCTTATGTTGGTGGGTGGCTCAGTGAATAAAATCTTCAGATTATGTGCTCCTGAGGGAAGGAGTGGGGTGTAGATTGTATACTAAATGTGAAATAGTGAAATGGCAGAGGCTCATTTTCCTTTTAAAATGTTTTTGTAGCAAAACCCCATCATGTAAAAAAAGCAATATCAATCAGAAGAGACAAAAAGGATGACAGAGAACTCCAGTATATAAAAAAGTGTGTGTCTAACCATATACTTCACATTTTTCTACCAGTTTTGGAAACCTTAAAGCAGGAGTTCCCAACCTTTTTGGAATTCTGACATGGAGCAATGGGCACAATCATAAAATGGCTGCCGCAGGAGGTGAAGCCAATAACAAAATGTCAGGGAGTGAGGTTATATATAATTCTAATACCTCACAGTCAATGTTCCCTCTAAGCTGTGGAATCTTGTGAGCAAAAATTCTACTTTGTGAGCTACTAGCATTAAAGTTGTGAGCAAGCGATTTGGCTACTGCATAAATGTTTGCTCTGGAGCCATCCTTCCTGAGCTAAGACAAAAAGGTGTGAGCCGGAGGCTAAAAAACTGTGAGCTAGCTCACAATAACTCAGCTTAGAGGGAACACTGCTCACAGTAACTCGTCCACATTTCAGGCAGAAGCTCTGTTTAATGTGATGCTTCTTAATCTGGACAGCCAATTAGATGCCCCGCTGGGCAATTAGCCCCAACTAGCCCCACCCACTTTCTAAAAGCACTTGGTGGACATCAGGAAAGATTTTGAGCACCATGTTGGGGACCCCTGGCTTAAAGGAATCAGGGGTACAAATGGTCAATTATCAGTAAGCCTACAGAGTTTCAAGTGAGGAAGAAGCAGAATATGACAGAAGCTGACGGTTACTATTGTTTGCTTCAGTTCCCAAACTGAATCTACAGAAAAGAACTAATCTGAGGATAATCAGTGAATGAAGGGTGAACAAGGAGAAATGATGGGCTGGATCTCAAGGAACATTTCTGCTAGTGCAAGACCTGCTGCAAAACCAGAAGTAATATAAAGCCATTTTAGCCCTAGAAGACCACAAGGTATATTTCAGCATGCACATACACACACACGCTGGTAATGACCTTCATGGATCATATCATGTTGCACTTCCAAATAATTGGTGCTTGATCTTACAGTACCTTGTGCAGTATCTTACACAAACAAAACTGCATTAAGGAAAATTTCTCTTTTGCTACTCAGTGGTGGGATCTAACCCAGTCTTCAAAAAGAACTGACAGGTGTACATGAGGGTCTGTTAACAGGTGACCAGCTGTGCAACAAGTGACTAGTGGAAAAAAGGAAGTGACATCTGGGCAGGATAAAAGCCTGGCTGATTAGTAAAAGCAATCAATGGAAACCTGGCTGGGAAGAAGCACAGAGGTCTGAAGAGCTCAAGTACTCTGAGTCCCAGCATCTTCAAATGTTGGAATTGTTGCTGAACCTACACTATTTTATTCAATAAGGAAACCCTTAATTAATCTTGCTTACAGCTTGTACAATACATAGGGAGAAATCCTAAGAATATCTATGCAAAAAAGTAAGCTCCATATTATCCAATGGGTCTCATTCCCAGGCAAGTGCATTTAGGATTGCAACCAGAAAGTTCTCACAATGCAGAGATGGTATAGTGAGGATTAGAGCTGTCTGGTTTGCAGGAGGAAAAGGGAAATTTATCTCTGCTGAAATGAACATATATAACTCAGTAAAATATCTGCCTACTGTTCTATCCTGGAAAGTCTCAAATGAGTCTATTATCATAGGATGAGAATGCAACAAATTCTCCACTGCTTAAATTAAGTAGAAATTAGAAAAGGCAGAGGGGAAATACTCTCAGACAACAGAAGTTTTTCAGTCACTTTTGAAGTGTTCCAGATTGTTATACAACCCACATACTGGCTCTCTATTTTCCACAAAATTTAAACTGGAACAGTTCTTCTCCAAAAGCAAAGGATTTATGAAAGTCACTTTGCCTCCCCTACACACTTACGAAGATACCACCACAGCACACCATTATATTAATCTCATTTAATAGTTTTGCTTTCAGATAGTTCAAGCACAAGATATAATTCAAAAACTTCATTTACAAAGTCTTCATCTTCCTTTTTAAAATCCAGAGATCAAAATATGAATAATCTTTGCAAGAGCAACTTCCCCTTAATATATCCTTCTGAAAAAGCAAAGGAATAGAGATAATGTATTTTCTTCCACATCTGTGCAAACAGAAATATATTGCTACATACAATTCTGTACAAGCATTAGAGATTAGCTCACTAATCATTTCCAGCACAAATGCCTGTCACTCAGCAGCTACCAAGCCATCCATTGCCAGCAGTGGATTTCAGGCTGGGCTTTCCCAGTACAATCTTATCATTCTAAATTAGTAAAATAGTCATTATGCACTTAGAAAGAAAGGAATGGATGAGGTCCATGGGCTAAGTTCTGTGGCATCACTTGTCTGCAGGCCTCCATTCGTACTCTCTTTATTCCAGACTAGTTCATTTAAAGGAAAGGAACATTTTGTCTGCAGGTGTCTTCTGCTTCAGAGACACTATGAGTAGACACTGGTAAGGAAAGATGAGACATTTCATCTAAATCCCAGAGTCTGGTCTGTTTTCTTGAGACAAAACAGAGGAGGAGATGCGTCAAACTTGTTTGTGTGGTTGCCTTCAGTTCCCAACAAGCCTTTCACCTGAACTAGCACTAGAGAGAGAATTGGATTGCTTGCATGCCTCCACCAACTCAATGGGTTGGTGGAAGTATGCAGAACATTCTGTTTATAGCACCCACTGCACATGGACAAGTGTCAGACACTCATTACTGGCTCAGAAATAGACTTGTTTGAGGGTGATCTCACATAGGTCACTGCCCCCATTTTTCCCCCCATTGGATTAGTTTCATGATTGCTCGCTGGAATTATGCCTAATGTGGCTACAAATACCACTGAACTCAACAAGATTCACATGGACACTTCTGGAACTGAGACCTGGGTCTGCAGATCTCTTCTGCAGTAACATTCACGTGTGGTAACTGAATGTGCACAGTTTATTTTCACAGCTTCAGAGAAAGAAGTAAAGCTTCTAAATCCTTCTCGGCCTCTTTGTCCTAAAATAAGAGGGGGGGGGGGAAAGAATTTATTTAATACATATGGAAAGCTATCAAAAGCCACTATACTCCATACCAATTTCTGCATCAAAAACAAGAGATTATTTTCAGCATTAATAGTCCAGGAAAATAAAACTGTTTCATTCTTCCCTTTAATCATTACATAAAAGACAGAGTATAAGGCTAGATGAAAAAGAAACTGCAAATCCAACCAACACTTTCCCCATTTTCTCCTAAAGTAGTTCCTTAAAATATTTATTACACAAGCTCTAACGGATAGCATTCTCCAACTACCTTTTTTGAAGGCGTATCCATGAATTCACTGATTTCTGTGATCTACAATTTACATTTTTGTCCATTTTCAGGCTATGAAACAGAGTTATTCAAAGGTAAGCAAAGTCTATTCCAGTAGTTGGAGCTTTTTGTATCTTGACCTCAAAGTACAAGCCCCTCATATGTATACACAACTTGGTGTTCACTCGAAATGGAAACCTTGGTGCCATGCATATCTGTCAAGATGACACATGTGCCACCACACACTAGAGCTTTGGGAGGAAACTGCTCCATGCAAAAACCCTTGTCTTTTAAAGCTGTGTCCAAGTGGTTCCATTTAAAGCAACTTCCCCCTCATCCAGGTGTAGATATGAACTCAATGCCTCAGTTTCCCAAATTCTAGCCCAATATGCTCTGGCAGTTGGCTGGAACTTGTAGGAAGGTGCCATCCCTGCAGGCCATCCAGATTAAGCGAAAGACATTTATTTTTCCAGAAAAGCCTTAGAATCAGATTGACATTAGAACAGCACTTATTGGGGTTCATTTCCTTGTGATTTTTAGATAGTTTGTATTATTCTGTATTAATTTAAAAATATAATTGAGCATATTTTATCTTTTGATCTGCCTGGGGGAACCTTTAACAAAAAGTAATCTAAAAATGCTAAATAAACTAAACGGACTACATGGCTTTAGGCAAGACACTATTCTCTCACCCGCAGCCCCCCCTACTGGTCTAACTTATGGGGCTGGTGTATGGACTATATTTATTTATTCACTTTATACCCTGCCCTCCCTGACAAAGCAGGCTCAGGGTGGCTTATGTAAAAGTCGGATAAAGATAAAATAACAATTATAAAACAGTCATAAAATCCAGCATAAAGTGCTAGTAACAACAAACTTCTAATAATAGTATTGCATAGAGATGGTGGAACTATCGTGTTAGAATATTCAAACGGAGACTAGTCTGTGTTGATGAGCCGCTCATCTCAGTCTATTTATGCAATAAGCACAGGCTGCCGATGTAGTCCAGGGGGATAGGGCCTTATCACAGTTCAGTTGTTAGATGCGGCTCCTTAGCTGAAGGCCTGCTGGAAGAGCTCCATCTTGCAGGCCCTGTGGAACTGTAAGAGGTCCCACAGGGCCCTGATGTCTTCTGGGAGCTCATTCCACCAGTATGGAGCCGCCACTGAGAAGGCCCTAGCCCTGGTTGTAGCCAGCCTGGCGTCTTTGGGACCTGGGAGGGCCAGTCGATTTTGAGACCCTGAGTACAGTGCTCACTGGAGAACATGTGGGGAAAGGCAGTCCCTCAGGTATGTAGGCCCCTGACCAAAAAGGGCTTTAAAGGTAAAAATTTGTACCTTGAAATGAATTCAGTATACTATCGGTAGCCAGTACAGTGCTTTCAGGGGAGGCCCATCAAAAGCCTGGTTGCAGCATTTTGCACTAGCTGTAGCTTCTGGATTTGGGTCAAGGGCAGCCCCATGCAGAGAGTATTACAGTAGTCTAATCTCTAGGTGACAGTAGTCTAATCTCTAGGTGAATTGATCACTGTTGCCAAGTTGCTGCATTCGAGGAAGGGAACCAACTGCCTAATCAACTGCAGATGGTAAAAGGCAGACTTGGCAGTGGCTGCTACCTGGACCTCCATTGTTAAGGAGGCATCCAGGAGCACTCCCAAACTCCTAACCTCCAGCGCTGGCACCAACAGGGCCCCATCGAAGGTTGGGAGTGGGATCCCTAACCCCGGACCATCTCAGCTCAGGCAAAGGACCTCCATCTTCGTCGAATTCAATTTCAGTCGGCTCGGTCTAAGCCATCCAAGCCACAGCTTGTAACCCCAGGTCCAGATCTTCTGGCTTAGAGTCAAACTGGCCACCCAACAACAGATAGAGCTGTGTGTTGTAAGCATACTGGTGATATCCCAGCCCATGCCTACAGGGAATCTGGGCAAGGGGGGGCATATAGATGTTGAATAGCAGTGATCATATATGAGATGTGCTTTGAACACTGTAAGTATGCAATATAAAGGCATAGTGTTATTCTTACAGTCTTGGATGCTGAATATACAGATGTCTCCTTATACTTTTTGCTGGATATTTTTATAAAGCTGAATGGATCAAGAGCTATTTCAAGGAAGGGATCAGGTCTCTGGACTTTACTACTGTGTATGGTATATGTTAATTATTGTGGTATGCATTATCTTGTTCTCAGTACATAGTATTTCTACTTATGTAATGTCATTTACTGCTTAACATGTCACGTGTAATGCTTTGTTCAGATTTCTGATTTGATTCAGATTTCTGTAGTCCTAGTCCTATTACACTGCTTATTAGATATCTCTTCCTACTGACTGCATTGTGTAACCTATCTCAAGTCTCAGTGAGAAACACAGACTATAAAGAACATAAATAAATAATAATCAATATATATAATTCTCAATGTGGCTCCATCTGTGGATACTTAAATTGCGAGACTGTGGCCATGGACACAGAAGTTAGATAATTCTACAAACCTGAGAAAAGCCCTAGGTTTGCAAAAAAAAACCCAAACCCAACCCTGAAATCTTTATCACACACATACACACACAGAGAGAGGTTAATCCCCCCAAATGATTACAGGAGTGCCTTATTTTTAAGAAATGAATGCCTACAGTAGTCACTGCTATGCATTCACAACAGTATTGCCAGCCTTCAAGCCTTGGGTTCTTTCAGGAAAAGGAAGAGGGAAGGGTTAGGGACCTATCCAGGGCAGTTTTGGACTTTGGGAGAGGATTCATTGAGGCTAGTCCTGGCCGCAACCACCAGGCAACTTACTACCACAGGACACACACCTGGCTGCTTGCTACTATTCAACAGCAGGCACCCCACAAAAGCCAGTATAGAGTAGTGGTTTGAGTTTCAGAATAGGATCTGGAAGACCAGGGTATTCATTCCCACTCTGCTGTGGAGGCCCACTGGGTAAATTTGGGCCAAAGTTGTTGTGAGGATAAAATGGAGAAGAGGAGAATTATGTAAGTGACTTTGGCTCCCCAATGTGGAGAAAGGTGGGGTATAAATGAAGTAAATAAATAGTAAATATAGCGTAAGGGGGGGCAGATAATAGGTAGCTCGTTTGGTGAGTGGGAAGGAGAGAAAGCAGCATGGAAAGGTGAGGATGTGAGGGCTTGCCAGGAATGTGGAAAGAGGAAATAGTGGGGAGGAGAAAATGAGATGCCTCCCATAATTACTTGCAGATCCCCCACTAGTAGTAGTGGTAGTAGTAATAATAATTCAGCATCTCAAAGCCAGCTGTAGTTTATGGCAATGTTTATTCTACACATTATCTTGTTCTTACTGCATTGTTTTCTTATTTCTGTAGTCTGATTTTTGAATTTTTATATACCATATATTATACTGTTTTACTGAATTGTTTTCTAAATTTGTAATCCAGTCTTATTACACTGTTTACTGTATGTCTTATACTGTTCCTATTACATTGTTTTAAATTTTGTAACCCACCCTAAGTTTTAGCAAGAAATTCAAACCACACATAAAGTAAAGAAATAAGACTGCAGGTTTCTGGTTTCAGCGGGGCGAGGACAGTTGCACCGGGATGAGCTCCCCATGCTGCAGCTGGATCGCCAGGCTTCTAGAGGGGATTGGGGCCACCCGAATTTCTATGGGGCTCCCCAGAGAGGAGCCCAAGCAATGGACTTGATCTGGACTCTTCGTGAGTGCCAGCAAGCGGGTAGAAGTCCGATTGTCCCAATGTAAAGCCTGTGCGAGAGCAGCCATTGCAGCAATGGGTGCGTAGCTGCAATTGCTGGACAAAAGGGGGGAAACAGCAGACCACATTCAATACATCAAGATAATCAACACTGTGACTAAGCTTTAAATGCACTAAGTTCAGAAACTCTTCTATCAATCGAGCCCTTTAAATCTTACACTTTAAAAGTTAAGGGAAGGGAGAGTAAAGGGACCCCCCCCTTCTACTGAAGCAGCTAGAAGAACAAGAAAAGAACTTTCTAAATAAGATTTGGGCGAAAGAAGAAACAGCTAACTTTGACTATTAACTGCTAAATACCATATTGTGGATTACAAATATATTTAAAATCTCCCCTTTATTGGATTACAATTTATGTTGCTGAAGTTTTCCTCTCACTGAGATTAAAAGAAGATTTTTTTTACTAAAGTAATTGAGCCCTTTAAATCCTACACTTTAAAAGTTAAGGGAAGGGAGGGTAAAGGGACCCCCCCTTCTACTGAAGCGGCTAGAAGAACAAGAAAAGAACTTTCTAAATAAGATTTGGGCGAAAGAAGAAACAGCTAACTTTGACTATTAACTGCTAAATACCATATTGTGGATTACAAATATATTTAAAATCTCCCCTTTATTGGATTACAATTTATGTTGCTGAAGTTTTCCTCTCACTGAGATTAAAAGAAGATTTTTTTTACTAAAGTTTCCCATTAATGGAATTATAAGTAACTATAAGACTATAAGACTTCCTTGAGGATTACAATTATGATCTGGATTACAAATTAAACAAGAAAGAAGAAAATAAGGTTAAAATTCTAACTAATTAAAATTGACTCTCACTTTTAATGCGTTGTAACTTTGTTGTAACGTAGACAAATTTGGTAATGTAATGTATTGTCTCTGCTTTTACTGACTATTCTGTAAACAACTGATAAGATTTTTTACTGTGGGGAAATCTTATGTTGATTAGTATGACTATAATAATAGTGCAGTAATAACATTAGTAACTGTTTTGTAAACTTTGCGAAACTGACTGTGCTAGATCTTTGTATGGGAAACAATTTTCAATTAGATTCTTTGTTTAAAATATCTTAAGATGGTTGTTGCAGAAGTTAAAGAAAAGGTTCCTGTGATGCCACTTCAAGGTATTAACTTCATAGACCTACAAGCCTTAATTCAACAGACAGTGATCTCAACTGTGACAGTGGCGTTAGAAGCAGTTATGAATCCTATACAAGAAAAAATAAACATCCAGAAAATGGAATTGAAAATGGAAGAAGATCAGAGACAAGTGGGCGTCAACATGGCAAATGGGGTTCAATTTGGCCAAGTGGAAGGTGATGCACATTGGAGCCAAAAATCCTAACTATAAATACATGTTGATAGGGTCTGAACTGGCAGAGAGTGATCAAGAGAGAGCTCTTGGAGTTGTAGTAGATAACTCACTGAAAATGTCGAGACAGTGTGTGACTGCAATAAAGAAGGCTAAAGAAGGGATTATTAGGAAGGGTATTGAAAACAGATCAGCCAATATCATAATGCCCCTATATAAATCAATGGTGCGACCTCTTTTGGAATACTGTGCGCAGTTCTGGTCACCACACCTTAAAAAGGATATTATAGCTTTGGAAAAAGTGCAGAAAAGGGCAACTCGAATGATAAAAGGGTTGGAACACTTTCCCTATGAGGAAAGGTTAAGGCGCTTAGGGCTCTTTAGCTTGGAGAAACGACGACTGAGGGGTGACATGATTGAGGTTTATAAGATTATGAATGGGAAAGAGCAGGTAGAGAAAGATGTACTTTTCTCCCTTTCTCACAATACAAGAACTCGTGGGCACTCCATGAAATTGCTGAGTGGTCGGGTTAGAACAGATAAAAGGAAGTACTTCTTCACCCAAAGAGTGACTAACACTTGGAATTCACTGCCACAGGAAGTGGTGGCGGCTACAAGCATGGACGGCTTCAAAAGGGAATTAGATAAGCATATGGAGCAGAGGTCCATCAGTGGCTATTAGCCACAAGGTATAGATAGGGACTCTGGGGCAAGTGATGCTCTGTCATCTTGGTGCTTGGGGGGGTCAACAGTGGGAGGGCTTCTAATGTCCTGGCCCCACTGGTGGACCTCCTGATGGCACTGGTATTTCTGGCCACTGTGTGATACCGAGTGTTGGACTGGATGGGCCTTTGGCCTGATCCAACATTGGCATCTCTTATGTTCTTAAGAAGAGAAACCAGAAGAACCAGACGTCAAACTGGAACCAGTAAAAAATAAACAAGACTTTAAAGAAGAAACCTTTATAAAAATGGAGCTTGACAAAAGAGTCTACATATTAAAATTTCAAAATACTTTTGAAAATAATGTTCAAGATTTAACAACAACAAAGATCCACACAACAACAAAATACATGGATAAAGAAAAATTAGAAATCTACAATGAGACTGAATTTGCCTTGTTTAAAACTTCAATGTTTCAAAAGCAAAAATATCTTAAAGACCATGTGACAATGAAGATACAATTCATATGGCAGAACAGGAGACCAAGAATAAAACTTAAAGATACATAAAAGAGAGAGCTGGACTGGTACCAACACAGAAGATGACCTGAAAGACTACTAAAATAAGTAACAATAGACATTAAACTTAAAAATCTTAATGATTTAAAAACTAAAATATCTGGAAAAAAGTATAAAGAGCTGGACTGACATTATCACGGAAGATGTGATAAGATAAGAAATACAAAGTCTTGAAAAGAGAGGATAGACTGAACAATTTTTTTGAAAATATATAGTTAAGTTTTTAAAAATGATTTGGAGAATATATCAAGTAAAATATACAGATTTACAGCGAATCTAGAAGATAATAATTCTTTATTTTTAGCTATTTTAATTCTTTATTTTTAGCTATTTTAAAAAGATATACATAAGAATATAAAATGGAATTTAGAAGATATAGTGTATGAGGCCCTTGAATAACCAATCTAATTATATATGGAAATCCCCCAATGTATATGTATGTACGTTTGTTTGTAATTGTTTGTCTATATATATAAAAAATTAAAATTAAAAAAGAAAGAAAGAAAGAACAATAAAAGAAAAGGGAAGCCTCTGTGTATATATAAAATGCCATGGATGCAATGGAATCCCTGAACTGCTTTGTGTTGTGCCCCATGGGAATGAATTGTAGAAAAATAGGTTTAGATTAAATATTATAAAATGACTTATAAAAGAAACTAGTTCCACAGCAGAACAAACTATTTATGAAGGTTCTGAAAATTGTGTGTCTTCAAGGAAAAGTGACACAGACAGCTGTCAAGCATCATTTTGGAGTGCTGGATTGAATTGGATGACAACAGAAATCTATTCAGCTCTATAATTAATGTGCCTGCTGAAAGCTTTCACTCTATGGGTCTTATAGTAGTAACAAGCAGTTGTTAACTAACCAAGTAATCATGTATCTGTGCCCTGAAAGACATTTATTATACTTGCTGTGTATCTTTGCCAGAATACTGTCAGTAGTGAGAAGAGATGTCAGATTAACTTCCGCAGCTTGTAAATGAAACTTCTTGCAGTGTGGCTCCCAAAGCTTCAACTATATAATTGTATATTTCAAAGTTCTAGCAGAAAAAGATCTTCATAAAGATAATTCTTTCAATCAAAACTCTTCCCACCCACATATTCTCTCTCACTGTCAAGTACATTTATAGCATGGGTTTTATGGTGGGTTCCTGATTTTAGGCTTTGTCACCCTAGACAGTATTGCAGGGCAAGTAGTGAGACAGCAACCATTCTTGTGATCAGAATGACTAATTGTACTGCACACTGTCCATTCCTCATTTCTTCATATAGACGCAAAGGCATTTTATTGTAAAGTAAGAATCATCATCATGACAGTCATCTTTTAAAACTTAATTTCATAACCTTAATTTTTAGTCTTTTTGCAATAACATATTGAAATACGCAATTAGCTGCCTTCCATTTTTACATGCGATTGCCACATTTTACAAAACTGAGGATGTGGGACTTCCCTTTGATTTCACTCTCTCCTTCTAGAGACAGCCATAACCCACCAGGAAGTTTTCTTGTGCTAGCAACTACTGAAATTAACAAGAGCTACAAAACAGTACAACTACGCAGCTACCTTAGACCAGTGCCACTAACATTAATGTAGGAAGCATCTTCATCATCTGGGCTATCCACATGATCACAAAATCCATACATAATGGCAGGCTCCTGGGCCTCACTGGTAAAGGAGAAGATTTGAGGCAAGCAGCCACATTACGAAGGTCACATACAAACAAGGCCTCTAACGCACCTCTTTGGTGACAGGCAGAACCGCCAGTGCAGAATCACAGCACTTCAAGGCATCAGTCCTCTGGCCAAGTTCTTTGTAGCACTGGAGATTGAAATAAAAAAGGCTAGTACAATCAAACTGGGCATTTCATTGAACAGAAATGTTTTTAAAAATGGCTATTTCAGTTACCTTTGCCAAATAGACATAATTGTATTTAGAATATCCGGGATGTATTTCTTCTGCCTGAAAAAAAGACAATACCCAAAAATAATAAGCAGTGGCACAATGAGACGAATACGGATTAAAAAAAAACCCAACACAGCAGGGGAGGTGCTGTGGTTCAGGGGAAGAGCCTCTGCTTTGCATGCAGTAAGCCCTAGGTTCAATCTCCAGCATGTCCAGTTAAAAGGACCAGACAGAAGGTCTGCCTGAGACTCTGGAGAGCTGCTGTCTGTCTGTGGAGACTATACTGACTTTGATTGACCAAAGGGCTGATTCAGTATAAGGCAGCTTTATGTGTGCAACATTTCTAGTGAAGTGCAGAGCATCTCCAGCAATGAGAGAATCTGAATGAAAAGAGAAGGTGCATGACTAAGGACACTTTGCATTTCCCATCACGACAATTGTGACGCTGCAAGACATAGGAGGAAGGAATCCAAGGCAGTTAAAACTGCAAAAAGCAGGAACAGTATGACACAGGAGAACTGCAAACTGATATTTTGCAGAGTGAAAGGCAAACTGTGCAGGGCATTACGCCATGATTCCAGGTGGATTGTGTACAACTCCAGCAGAAAGCCACTCTGTAGTACAGACCCAATGGGGACAGCTGCACCAGACACCCCAAGAACAGCCAGCATTGAAGTGCTCTGTTATCCATAGCCAAGACTATGCACGCTTACTCTGAAGTAAGCTCATCAAGATCAATGGAACTTATTCCTAAGTAAGGGCGCATAGGGATTTTGCCTTAGAAAACAGTTGCTCGGCTGTCACATTATGGTCTCGAAGGCTTGATTTAAACATGATGCACCTAAGGGAACAGAACTCACCCATGGGGCTTGGAACTCACATATCACCTGTTAAACTGGGCTGTAAGCTGAGGTTCATTTACGTGCCAGTACAACATCAGTAAGGGCTATGGATCTCTGGAACACAAACTAAACACTACTAAACATGGGTAGTAGCCCAGTTTAAATGAGACCCTGAGCCCATGAAAGCTCTTTGCCTTGCCAGTCTCATATTTAAATTGGGCCCACAAGAAGCCAACTTTCAGAAACAGCCAGGCAACATACTAGCATTTTTAGAAAATACCTGGTCAGGGGAAAAGGCCCTTCACTGTGTGTGGCACACACAGAAAACTCAGAGTAGATGAGTCAGTGCACCCAAAGAGTCTTGGCCTTTTAAAAACTGGAGACAAAATGTCAAACTGGCATTTTTAAAAACTCTTGTAGCCAGTAGCAGCCCGATTCATCATTGAATCTAACATCTGAACAAGCCAAGCTCTTGCATTCTCTCTCTCTCTGGCATAATCATTTTTAAATTACAGGGTAGAGTTTTCATTCAGAATTACTGCTTGACAAGGACTGTAACAGGTACAATTTTCATACGGTACAGTTTTCAAACAAGCAATTCTGTCCATGAATCTCAAGACCCCATATATTTGAGTTAGTTCTAATTCAGACAAATACTGACATAGCAGACAACGGAAACTGAGTTTATGCGGAGAAGCACAGTTACTCTAACAAAGAAATCATTAAGGAAAGTCTTTTGCTTTTAGAGCAGCTTTGACTTTATAGCTGCTGAGAACAAGTTGTTGAGCAAATCTCTTGAACACCAGCCACTTGGTAGGTGGGCCATGAAAGAGAACTGTCAAGAAAAATAGTTTCTACCTTAAGAAAATTCTGCAAAGCTTCAGGTATTGTTGAAGTTGGCGGAGTCCCAAAAAGAGCAGTAGCAACTTTCTTCTCAATCCAGGACAACTGAGCTACCTTTGGAAACCCCAAAAAGGAGAGACAATATTTATTTTCTCTTTTCTGATATGAAATAAGTTTTGCAAGCGGTCGCAATAAAGTATCTTCCAGTAAAACGCTTTTGAAAACCCACACATGGGGGGAGGGTGTTTTGTAGACCCATACTGAATACATCTGTCTTACTTAAATAGTTATCTGCTTAGTATTTAAGAAAACAACCTTTTTCCTATAGAAGGAAAAAAGTAAAACAATGAACATTACTGTGAGAAATTAAGGCAGCAGTTTTCAAGAGGGCACTCCTAAGAATGTTGCAGGATTTTCTTCTGAGGAGACAGGATGAGATCAGTCTGCATAATACAAATCACACAGGGTTGGATCCATCTTACATGAACAGAAGCCACTTTCCACTTATTGGGGGGGGGGGTGTTTTCAGAGTTTTCACTGATTTTTGTCCCCTCAGGCTGCAGCCTCCTGAACCACACCTTACCAGGTCCCTGACGGGAGAGGAAAGAAGGAAAAATCCATTCCTCTTAGTATCCAGCCCAATATCATCAAATTACTTGGGTACATTAGTTTGCTTTCAGTCACTGTAGATATGCCAATCAAAGTCTTCAAGTGTTCTCAATGGCTACCCTTTCACTCCCTCCCCTCTACTGACCTACCAAGTCCAAGCCTGAGTGCCTTTCACAAGCACTGCAAGATTTACCTATTTCATTTGGTCTTCAGTGTTCAGAGTTAAGCTGTAATTTCAGTGAACGAGATAACATTTTATTCTAGTCTGCTTGGGGGGCAGGGTTTGTCTATCTGAGCCTTCAGCATGCAGCAGGCTGTACATCTAAGAAAATACTAGTTTAATCATTGGGATGGTTTGCAAAAGCATTCCCATGATGAAAACTATCGTGAGGTGGAAAGTGGTATGCACACAGGCCTTTCCTTAAGGCCTTTCTCATTTTTGAGGGAAATATGATTTGATGAAATCACTGTTCTCTATTTATTAAAACATTTCACATCTACATTATACTACGCTGATAACGAACAACTCTGAATTTATGCAAAATACCCACACACAAAAAAAGACATAAAAGCTGCCTTTCAAGTGTGCATGTGAAAGGGATTGCTCTCCCTGCACCATACTCCTGTACTACATTTTCAAAAAACCACCTGGCAACCTGACCTTTAGAGCACACAGGTAGCTTGGGGCCCCATAGAAGTAACTGGGATTTGATGGCAAGTTAGGTATTGGGATGTGAATGGAATGCTCCAGCAACATTGAAAAGGAATGTTGAGCATTCTTCCTGGCAGTTCAAACCACTTGTGGCCAGGCATCTTGTTTGCTTGGAAATGCAGGAGTATTTCTATGTTAGCACTGATCTCAGCTGACACAGAGGGGGGATATAGAGATTGATGGATGAGTAAAAGAAAGAAAAACAGCTTCCACAATATCCTTGTAGACCACCCAAAGTTTTATGTATCTGTATGTGTGCACTCACACACTGATACCACACAAGGTTTGACTGTGAAGTAATGGAGTAGTGGCTTCCAGTTTTTTCCACTGCAGAGTTTATAATTAGCTTCTTAAATTATGTGGCTTATACTTTGTCAAATGTGAGATCTGTCTGGCATGATTCATGCTTTGTTACTAGATTTAATAAGAACTGATGTAGTAAGGTTCCGCTGCGTCTTTTAGGTGGCTTAGGATTTGGTTTGGACTGCTTCCCAAAACAGGAACTGTTTTACTTGGCCTTGATACGGCTTGCTTTTTTAAAAAAGAAAAATCCCAGCACAAAGCGCGTTTATTATGTTAGTTGTGCGTATGGCGGTGGCTGTGGGATAGGTCCAGCAAACGATGAGCAGAATTCCATTTGCAGAAGAGGGCTGGGTCTGACTGCCCCAATCCCACTGCATCCCTTCGAACGTTAGAGAGCCTCTGAAATGGTCTGGGATGTGACACAGAAGGACCAGCAGGGCGGGATGAGATGAGGAAAACAGCAGAAACAGCAAGGTTTCTGCACCTTCCACTATTCACTGCACTGCACTTTCCGCTATTCAAACTATTCAAACTGACAATAACAACTTTCTTTTTACAGAAAGCTGGGGAGACTTCAAGAAAAATTCTGTCCCGCTGAATTAAATCAATGAAGCTAAAAGAATGCATATTTTGTACAGCTCAGACTATTTTATTTGTCACATTGCTAGCCTTCTCAAAGAAGATAACAGGCGGCACTCATGGCACTATCCCATTTTATCCCACAAGAGTCCTGTGGGGCTAGTTTGGCCGAAAGGGTGCATAAGTGGCCAAAGGTCACCCTGTGGGCTTCAAAGGCAGGCCTGTGAAAACTGGTGTAAAAACAGATGCGGAAATACAGGTTAACCATTCTCCTACTCTTATGATGGAGATAACAGATCCAAACAGAGTTCTGCTGGGAGGATCAGATCTTTCCTGTCTTCTACAGCTTCCTATGCAACCAAAAAAACCTTGTCCCCTGAGGGTTGGGGACACTCAGGAACAGCATGGGTTGCAGCCAGAGTTGCCAACTGCCTGGAGAAAAACTGTCCTGTCACGTTAATGGAGGCTTAATGGGATGTTATTTACCAACTGATGTAATTTATCTGAATGCCATGAAAAGATTCACCCACCCATTTCCACTCCTTGTCTCCAAGCACGCTGGAAACCCTAGTTACACTCAAATCCTGCTTTTCTTCCCATTTGGCTCAGTTAAGTGCAACCACCACCCTGTGATGATGAAGGATAGAGATTTGCCCAAAGACCTTCAACAGTTCAGCAAGCATTTATACCGAGGGAGTTTGCTTATACCAAAACCATCCTTGCACCATGGCATCTGAACAAATGCAACCTTCTTGCTATTACGGCATCATACAATCTTCCCTTGTGCAACTAACCTAACAGAATATAGCATTCTACTTCTCTGAATTGTAACGGACCCTTGATTTTATCCAATGCTTTGCTTTACAGAGAACTCAGCCTCTTGAAATAGGTTGTGTAGATTACTGATAAGACCTAGAATATGATCCTCTTTGTTCTTTGTAACTGTACTAAATAAGTTGTTTATTTGACCTATAGGAATTTGATACTGTTGCATTTGCAATACTCCGTGGTATCGTAGATAAACTTAAATAACTTGAAACAAAGACACTACTAATAAATATGGCCTTTATTGTGAGAACAAAAGGCAAGTCTGACACTTTCTGTCTTGATTGCTAATGGCTTTCAGGTTTGTTTATTTATTTATAATTTCAATTTATAGCCCACCCTCCCCGCAATGCGGGCTCAGGCTCAGGTTCTCCTTCAGGTGACATCTGTTACCTCTAAATTACTTATTTTCCCAAAAAGATAAGCAACAATTCAAGGGAAAAATTATGGACATTATATGAAATTCACAGTTTACAGCTGTGACGCCCCTTGTCCACTCACACAGAATGCCTACCACTCTCTACAATCTCTCTTCTACAGGTTATGGTTTATAAGTAGTTCAGGACATCATACTTGCCACCCTTCTTGTCTCTTTTAAAATCTACAGAAAGTTATGACCATCTCACACTTAATGGTCCTCTCACTCCCAGAGACATTGTTGCCAGAGAAGCTGCCTTTTACTCTTGGGTAGCCCCAATAGCAAGGGCACCCCACTTCTAACCTGACCCAGAGACCCACAAAACTCAGGCCAAGGAAGGCACTCTTGGTTCTGAAACACAGAGCTAGCCACAGCTCTGAAAAAGGGGTCTCCATTTTCAGGTGATAGGCAACCTCAGAGCAAGCCTCCAGTCTTCCCCGTTCACCCAGCAGAGATTATGTTTATGGAATAACAATGAGTTCTAGCAGGTAAAGTATCTACATTTCTAAAGTCTATTTAATTCTTTGTCTGAATACTTGTCTTTTCTACTCTGTCCCTCAAGATACTGGGATAAACCAATCAAGCATTCAACGGGGACCTCCCACCTTTTGTTTACCCTGACCAGGACCATTAGTGGTCAGATAATCCATTTAACTAGCCAGCCAGCACCTGGCTTCTATTGTTAAATCCAGACCTTGCTTCTCTAGAAGCTCATTGGTCACATCTAGGCCTTGCCCATCCTGATGCCACACACCCCTGGGACTCATCATTGGTCCAGGAAATCTATTGTTCTCACCTGAGACCAGCCCCCAGGACCGGCCATTGGTCTGCATTGTCTTCCATAGGGTATATCCCAGCATAAACATGGCCTCAGACGGTGTGTTTTCTGCCATAATCCAAAATAGCAGTCCACCCCTGAACTCTCTGAGTTTAGGCCAAAATCCTTTCTTCATGGACCTCTGCACATCTGGACCAGGTTGTATCACCCCTCTATAAGCTATCAATCACCTCTGCTTCCTTATAGCTCTATATTGTGTGTGTGAGTGTTTGAATATTGTTTGTATGCTTGAGAATGTTTAGTAAAGAAATCATTATTTTAGCCACCCAGTTTCTGTGTCTGTTCCTGGGTTCCTGGGAATTCTAACACTGGTATACACAGGTCAGATCCTATAGATAAGCCAATTGCATATTAATAATTATAATTCCCCATTTTTATTAAATAATAGAGCAATTTGGCTAACAACATCCACAGATAGGGTAGCCCAGCCCCCTTTAACAATCAGCCCTCACTCACACAGAGCTATTGGGTATGGGCTCAAACACTGTTCCAATCACTTGCTGACACCATTCATTCTTATCCTGGAATATATGTATGTGGACTGAGATATTAACTTTTGTGTACATGCACTTCTTCCCCTTAGACATGCAGCTCATAGGGTTAATCAAAACAAGAAATTTTTATTTATAACAACAAACCACTGAGGAAAGTAAAGTCTAAGAAACAACATTTCACTCCCATTGACCTTTTGAAGTGATGTCCTATACCTACAACTGGGATCCTTTAGTTACAAATTTAATGTTTTCAGCCTGTTCCAAGCAGCTCTTCTACACCATTCCCCTCTGTAATATACTGGGTATGAACGCGTAGAAGTAATCAGCTCATGGTATTTTGGAACTTGGTAAAAACACAAGACAACTTGCAGGGCCGTGACCCCGCTTAAATCTGTGAAACACACCACACCCAACACACAGCCCACTTCCCATGATAGGCTATTTACATGGCGGCTATCCATCATAGGCTGGGCGCAGGATCCGAGGTGGCCGATAGGCTGGTTCTCGGATCCTCACCCGCTATTGTTATAGAACCTTAAGCTGCACTTGTTCGCCTGACCACGTGCAAACCCAAGCACATGTGTAGTCCATCTTAATACACAACACCCTCAGTCAGAAAAACCTTTGTCACATTGGTCCTTAAGCTGTCAGCTTCTCTGCTACTAACCCTTAACTGTTATTTTTCAACTGCTGTTTTTTAAGTTTCCTTTCCTGAACATTCAGACTGCTCCCATTGGTTGCTCTTAGGGAGTGGCTGAACCTAGCCTATCTGTCACACCACTTTACTACAAGCCAAGCTAGAGTATTAAAATGGCTCCTGCTGTTTTTAAAACAAAAAAGTGAGATCTCACTTCTAATTTAAATAGCAATACATTTTCTGTAACAGACGTGGATTTCAAGTCGCATTCTTATTTAAGAGAGGCTATATGGGGGGGCTGTCTTCACTACTTAGTTTGTATATCTAGATTAACCAAGTTTGAAAAATTAATGGAGAAAAGTGATATGTAATCCACAAGCTGCCATTCAGATATCACAAGAAGTTGTAGTGTTTGCCTGCACCCCTCATTGTTCTTACCTCTCTTCCCCCATGAAGCTTGACACAAAACTTCCTGGCTTAATCATGCTGCAACTGACAAGATGTTCAAATACAGGGCCTTGGTGGAGTGTTTGCTCTGCAGACCTGGAATTTTAAAACTTTATTTTAATTCCAGTTTTAGAATCCTGGCTTGTGTTGAAGTAAAGAAACTCCAGTTCGCAAAGGTGCTTGGTTTTCAGACATCATAATGAACCAAAGCTTGGCCATATTGGGAAGTTTTGCATCAAGCTCCCTGCTCAAAAGGGAGAAAGGAAGTGGGAGGAGCAAGGGGCACATACCAGCACAGCAACAAGCTGTGTTTGTGTCTGATCACATCTTGTTGTGATAAATGAGTGCAATCAGAGTGTATTTTCTAAGACTTTAATGGCATTTTCCTAAGAGTGAAAGTACACAAATACCAAAAGAAGAAGAAGAGATTGGATTTATACCCCACCCTTCACTACCCAAAGGAATCTCAGAACGGCTTACAAACCCCTTTCCCTTCCTCTCCCCACAACAAACACCCTGTGAGGTAGGTGGGGCTGAGAGAGCTTTGAGAGAACTGTCCTTGAGAGAACAGCTCTGACAGAACTATGGCTTGCCCAAGGTCATCCAGCAGCTGCAAGTGGAGGAGTGCGGAATTAAACCTGGTTCTCCCAGATTAGAGTCTGTGCACTTTGCCAGTTGGATGCAGTGGTTTGCCAGTTGGGTGTAGTGGTTACACTAGACCAACCAGCAACAAATTTACAACAGAAGTGCAGTACATTCACAAGTCACTGCATCCAAGCTCCAGACCTATCCTTTCTGCTTCTGCCTTGGTAAATGTCAACAGAGAAATTAACAGAGCAGTGGCGGATGTCGTTATGGGCTAAGGACACACCGACAGAAGGCATAAGTGGGCCATGATTAAGCACCAGCACTGCTACAGCATGAATAATGTAGAATTTGCCAGTTTCACTTTGAAATCCATCATAGCAGGGCCCACAGCTTAGTGCTGAAACGCATGCCTTGCATGCAGAAGGGCCCAGGTACAATCCTCAGCATGTTATTTCAATGAATTCCAGTGGCTTGAGTTGGGAGAGCTCCCTGCCTGAGGCCCTGGAGAATCACTGCCAGACAGAATACTGGCCAAGACAGACATTAAGCTTGTGTGTGTGCCCTTTTTTCCAAGAAACGGGAGTAAAAATGCTGAAGATGCACTATTTTTAAAGAGAGCTTAACAGGACTGATGCTGTGTCAATGACCCGAGGCTCACAAGCACTTACTTCATAACACCACCTTCCAGTGAGATAGTATAAAAATGGATCTCGAGGCTTAAGTTCAATTGCTTTGTCTAGATGCTCCTGTAAGAAAGAAAGATCGCCATGAAAAGTTCTTGCTCTTTGGTTTCAGATGTTTGGACAAACTCATGGAGAATGCAGTGGGGATGTCCCTTGTCAAGTCTGCCAACTTGGTAAATAGTATAACTTGCAAAAACACATTTATGTTAAAAACAAACAAACCCCAAACTACTTTCATGTAATGAACCAGAGGACATTTCATTTAAAGGTCTCGCCAATAACTCTTGAAAGGTACCATCCTACTTTCATGGAAATTAAAAAAAACAAATAAAAATCCTGGATGTGTGGGTAACAGAAACAATTTTTGTTCTTATTAGCATTGCAAAACATATTACATGCTGAGGGCCTGTGAGGAATCATGTCTATAGTGTGTGGGGGGGAAATGATCTAGGAATTTTTCCCACTACTCACAAACAGATTTCACATCTACTATGCTACATATTCAGGGACTTGAGCAGACCAGTCTCCCTGTTTCTTTCCTTCTTGTACCAACCTTGCTCAATGAGCAACAGACCTGACAAAGACCCAAACAGACCCAGAGAAAAACACCCCTCTCCAGAAGGCTACAAACACCCACTCCCCCTCAAACTCTGCCCTCTCACAAAGCAACCTCCGTGAATACTTCCCAGTCATTTAGCAGTTCAGGAAAGGCAAAAACACACTCACCTTCCCAGCAGCTCTCTCCTGGGTTCTGCCTCCCAGCCCAGCTGGCTCAGTTCTACTGAAATTATTCTACTGAAATTCCTTAACCAAATCAATAACAAGTTTACACATGTCTGAGTAGTCTAATATGGGTAAATGGTTTTAAAATTAAAACAGAAGTCCTGCAGCACCTTAAAGACTAACAATGCTATTCTAGTATGTTGTAAGTCTTGAAGGTTCCTCTGGAAGTCTGTTTCATTTTACCCTCTAAACAGTTTTCTTAATTCTTTCTCCAGTGTCTTACAGTGCCTTCTAAGTTGCTTTGTTTGCCTCCCCTCTAAAAGCCTGCTGGCCTGATGCTGCCTTTCAGCAGATCAAAATCCATTCAAGTACATGGAATCTGAAACAAGAATGCTAAATGTAAAGAGCAACTTCTGACTGTCTCTCTTTGAACAGGAGCATTGCACATTCTGTTTATTCACTGTAAGCACTGAGCCAACAGAAGCAAGAACACACGGCTAGAGTGTTTAATGAAAAACAGAAGTAAATGAAGAACTATATAATGTGCATGTATACACCAGTACATGCTTAAATCGCTTTTTTGACATTTTCAATCAGGAACAGCAGTGCAAACCCCTCACAGTTGGTTCATAGTGCCATGCTTAAATCTTTTTCCTGTTTGAAAGCAAATTTGCAGATCCAAACAAACCTAACACTGGCATTCGCCCATGCCTCCCAGGCAGAGTTAGTTGTACTCCTAAACACTGACTTCAGAACTGTCCAGAAGAAGCAATTCAACAACAACAGTTTAAAGAAGGTACCAAAACATACCTTAAAGAGATAGCCATTCTTGAATTTGTTCTGTATACTTTCAAACTGAGACAGATAGCCACACATCACTGCAAACCTGGAAAGGAAATAGGATGGGGGTGATACTAAGATTCACAATAATTTTAATCACAAACTGCCAGCTTGGCCAAGATGCTCAGTAGAGAGAGAAAGATCGATGGAACTGGCAGTACAGCCAAATTTAATGCAGCATGCAAAACCAATTTAGACCTCACCAAACACTTTAATCAGGGTTGTAACATTTGTTCTATTAGTAGATTAAAGCATTCTAACGTGTTAAAATATGTTTATAATACAAGAACCTCTAGGAGAGGGCTCCCCACAAGTTTTAGAAGAGGCATTTCTTCTCTCTTCTGTAGAGGAAGAAGGGTGCCACAGACAAGTTTCTGGAGCTTTTTATATGGGAAACAAATATAATTTCTATATTTTCCTTGCTGGCAGTGCTGTCCTTATAGTATGCCTACTGAGATGCTGTCTGCTAAAAACAGGTGCACACATGATCTAAAAACTGAGAAAGCATACTTTCTTGTTCAGAACTCTTATACACATGCAGGTTTAACATGCTTACTAACTGACTAAAACTCATACAATAAATTGACTAAGATCCCTTTAATGGCCAACAGACCTACTTATAACATAACCGTTAGATAGCAATATATCTGTCTGTCATTTTAGGATGTTACCCAATACATTTTGAGCCAAACTCTTATGCATAACCTTAGAGGATTCAATGCATTTTCCCAATCTTTACTCAGCAACATACTTTTTAAAAACAAGGTTGGTTTGAACTAATTTTGATTTTAATTCATCTATGCAATTTATTTTATGCTATTTACACCTCTCCATCCAGCCCCCCCTCCCACCCGAACACCACAAGTGGTCACAGATGAAGATCTCCCTCTTTATGACCAGAGCAACATGTGCTTTTAATGTATTACCCAATTAGATTTTCTTTACAATACAGATTCAGGATATTCCCTGCTCAAAAGGCTTGGTTCTCAGTTCAAGACACAAAGATTTCAGGACTGCCGTTACCCCCAAAAAAATCAGTGCCGTTGGCAACCATAAGCAGCAGCAAAGGACAAGGAATGTCAAGAATTTGGAAGGGAAAGGGGTACTAAAAACTTTATTTCCCATACATTGCAGAAATGCAAGCAACATTTTCTTTCCTAACTCCCTCGGCTCATTAGGCACTAATCAGATAAACTCAGCATACCACAGCTAAACAGATTGCAGCTAGAAAAGAAAACAATGAAAAGCAAACAAGCTAATCTGAGGTCTCAGCAATATCTCCAGGTCTGTGCGTGACATGGAAAGAAAGGTGCTGGCTTAACTAAGTTAAGGGCGATACTTCTTCATATAAAGGCCTTTCCAGGCAAATGAAAAGCTGCTTATATTTTCCTAGTGCATTAGTCACGCTAGCTCCAATTTGATGTTCATGATACCATATTCTTCCCCCTATAATAGTTGTGGGCATCTGCTTTGTGTGTAGAAGGGTAAACTTGGATTAATAGGAGATGCACATTCACTCTATTTTTTAAAGAAAAAACTGTAGAAAAGAAGTTAATGAATGTGCATGTGAAGAAAATAGGCCAGGGAAGGAACCAAGAGATTATTATTATTATTTTAGTAGAGCAGTAGGCAAAGGACTGTGATAACAAGCAGAGACTTTGCTGCAGGAGCAGGTGATAGCCTAGCTGGAACTCGCAAATGAGTGCAAAGACTGTAATTAGTTTAAAAAGAAGACAGAAAAACACAAAGGTGAAGGAGACATACTTTTGGTATGAATCACAACAATGTCAGACACTAGCCAACAGGCTTCCTGACTGTACCACAGTCTAAAGAGGACTCAAGAAATAGTCCTGTCCTTGCAACAAAGATAGTTCAATAACTTCTAATCCCCACTTTATCGGGCCTGGTCCTAAAGCCTGGACATCACAATGAAGTATCAATGAAGAATAGACATTATTAATTACAACTTCATTGCCTAAGCAACATTTTTTATTCTGATCTAATTAAAACAGTACAGTTAGCACTTATTTGGACGGGGTACGGTTTCCTGTAAAATACATATTAGACAAAACATACAAAAGCTATTCATCTAATGAAACAGAGTTATCAGATGGGAAGCATACAGGACAGGGGAAACTAATTTAATGCATATAAGTTCTGGTGTGGTTATTTGGCCTTTTAGCAAAATGCATATGCACTCTTAGCTACTCTCTAAAAGTTTGTGTTTTCTGGAGTAGTGTGTGTACACACGTATACACACACATACAGCCTACCTGCTGACTCTTGATTGTTTCAGGACCATTTCTGCACATGTCCAAACCTCTGCATCGGTGTTCTTAAATAATCAAAGTTTGTGAAACTTTCTGTACAATTTTTTGCCTACACAGGAGTAGATCCGAATATAGTGCCGTTACCCCACGTTTTCCAAATTCATTTTCCCCACAATTTTTTCCCCTTCGGATCTGAACTTGCAGTTTTCCAGTGAGGAATTCCTAATTTTGAATTTGTTTCCCACCAACCTATTGTGCTGTCAGTGTCACATGTTCACCCTGCCTCCTGCCCTCCCCCCCCTCAGGTTGTCCTGAGCAATCTGCTAATTTTTTAAGCATAATGTTGATTGCGTTATGACACAAACTTTTAAAAATTATAATACAGCAACGTTATAATGTTGGGACAAAATGGGCAGCAAGGTTTCATGTAGCCTTCTCCATGCAATTACCAATCCATCAGATTCCTCTCCTTTCTTTTTTGGAGGGTGGGCAGGTTTTGTCACCTCACGCTTGTATTGTTTCTTCATTCCCCACCCCCACCCCATAGCTCCCAGTGTGTTTTTGATGACTTTTAAACGTCTAAATATAATGGAATCATATAATTGATTTGATAATCATGGAAATTCAACATGTGGTTTCTATTAAAAAAAGGTAAAGGTTCCCTTGCTCGAAAGCCAGTCAAATCCGACTCTAGGGTTGCGGTGCTCATCTGCATTTCAAAGCCGAAGAGCCAGCGCTGTCTGAAGACTTTTCCGTGGTCATGTGGCCGGCATGACTAAACACCAAGGTGCACAGAACGCTGTTACCTTCCCACTGAAGTGGTACCTATTTATCTACTTGCAATTTCTTGCTTTCGAACTGCTAGGATGGCAGGAGCTGGAACTAGAGATGGGAGCTCACTCCGTCATGCAGCACACTCGGGTCTCAAACTGCTGAACTACTGACCTTCCACAGCCTGCAGTTCAGCGTCTTAACCACTTGAGCCACCGTAGTTTCTATTTAGTGTGCTTCAAAATGAGTGAATAACACTGTCATGAATTGGTGTATTCAGTTCGACGATCACAAATGGAATACTATTTTCATTAGGATTTTGTGGGAATCTTCACTGGCCATTTTCTTAGTCGGTGACAAAGGAAGAGCAGGGGTTTGAAATGGTGGCAACTATGCTCTTCCCCACAATACATCCAGCCTTTTTGAACAATGTTATGATCATAACATTACTGCATATGCACAAAAAAGGAGGTTCCAACGCTGACAAAGCACATGACAATATATTTAGCATGCTTCATAATTATTGAATAACACTGTTATAAATTGGTGTATTCGGTTCGATGATCGCCAGCCATTTTCTTAGTTGGCAACCAAGCAGGAGTGGGGAACCTTTGAAATGGTGGCAACCATGCTATTCCCCACAATACATTCAGACTTTTTTTTACAATGTTGTGATGTTATAATGTTTGCACATGCACACACAAAAAAGGAGGTTCCATCGCTGACAAAGTACATGACAACATGGCTGCACAACCCCTTTTCAAAGGAAGTGTGGAACACATGGGGAGGGTTGGATCCAAATTCAAGAAAAAAATCCCCCCAAATAAATGCCCTTTTGTGGTACTGCAAAGTTGGAATATCAGCTGGGGATTCAACTCATGGGGAAACAGCAGCAACATTGGGGTGCAGTAAAGGTCCAGGTGGAACCTGCAAACACAAGTTATCCTATCCAGGATGTGTATTATGAGAAGTAACTAAAACTCAGCTGCTGTAGTGGGGGTGGGAGGTGGGGGGGGGACTGTAGATCATCAGGGATCTACCCCAAGTGTCTTCCTGCTCTCAGCATAAATGCAACTGTCAACTGCAGCAATCCAGTGAAATGAGAGACAGAGTGTTAGAAGCAGGTGTTATGTACTTTGTATTACCCAGTGAACTGTAGGGAGGATTTGATCAGAAGCGGTAGCCACTGAAGGGAACAGAACCAACCTAAAGATACAGGAGCTGCAGGAAGAGCATGAGAGGAGGACAGAAAATAAATGCCCATGAAAGTAGCACAAATTTAACTATTAGCCTTCAGTTAACATGGTCAAGCAGAGCTGAAGATCAAGGTTTAAAATAAAAGTGCAGAAGAGAATACACAAGCAGAGGGAATTCACTGGAGCATTATGAGCAGAAAGATCAACACGGCAAAAAAGAGAGAGAGAGAGAGAGAGAGAGAGAGAGAGAGTATGCAGGACTGCTATATTGGGCAGCCAAGGAAAAGTGTCCAAATAAGTGACAGATAAAAATGGAAAAGTAGTCTTTTAAAAAAATTGAAAAAAAATGGAAGTACACAAGGGATGATAAACTTGACAGTGATTTGCAACAGGCTAGATTATAGTAACTTGGAGATAGCTGTATCTGCAGAAGAGATACAAAAGCCAGAAGGTATAAGATTAAAGGGATGACCAATCTTAAAATCTATGGAGATCTTAATGAATAAGATTTGGGCTGGAAACTTGCAACCAATGAAGTTTATTAATCCTACAGAAGTAAACAGGGGTTAAGACGTCTGTCCATGAAGGAATGCAGCCTTAGTGAACTGTGAAATAATAACTCCTTAGAAAGATGTGCAATAGAGAAAACATTACACGAGAGAGAGAGAGAGAGAGAGAGTGTATGCAGGACTGCTATATTGGGCAGTCAAGAAAAAGTGTCCAAATAAGTGACAGATAAACATGGAATAGTAGTCTTTAAAAAAAATTGAAAAAATGGAAGTACACAAGGGATGATAAACTTGACAGTG